TCCTTCCATCCTTCCTTCCTTCCTTCCTTCCTTTTTCTTCCTTTCTTCTTTCCTTCTTTCCTTCCTTTTCCTTCCTTCCTTCCTTCCTTCCTTCCTTCCTTCCTTCCTTCCTTCCTTCCTTCCTTTTCCTTCCTTCCTTCCTTCCTTCCTTCCTTCCTTCCTTCCTTCCTTCCTTTTTCTTCCTTTCTTCTTTCCTTCTTTCCTTCCTTTTCCTTCCTTCCTTCCTTCCTTCTTTCCTTCCTTCCTTTTCCTTTCTTCCTTCCTTCCTTCCTTTTCCTTCCTTCCTTCCTTCCTTCCTTCCTTCCTTCCTTCCTTCCTTCCTTCCTTCCTTCTTCCCACCCACTTTCTGGAGTTCAGTCCTGACCAGCTCAAGGTTGACTTTGCCTTCCGTCCTTCCCAGGTGGGTCAAAAGAGGACCTAGATTGTTGGGGCCAAGAGGCTGACTCCGTAACCTGCTAAGAGAGGTCTAGAAAGCACCGTGAAGTGGTATAGAATTTGAAGGGCTTTTGCTATTGGAAAAAAAAAATACCATTTACCTGCGAGAAAGAACCGGTGGGACCATAAAATAGGCAGAAGTCCCAGTAAATGAAGCTGCTAAACCAGGGGTCTCCAACCTTGGCAGCTTGAAGACTTCTGGGAGTTGAAGTCCACAAGCCTTAAAAGTTGCCAAGTTTGGAGACCTCTGGACAGACCCTGTGCCTGCAACTGTTCCAGTCCCCTCATCATTTTTGAGGCTTTTCTATCCATCCATCCAACTTCATCCATCTCTGTGAATGATGCCGGGCGCCTTTCGATATTGATGGCTGTGTCTATTTTCCCCGCTCTTCCCAGCATACCCATTATCCCCAGTTCGGGAGCCAAAACTACACCGGCCGATCTTCTAGAGGACCTTACGGTGACTCCCTCCTGGAATTTGACGGAACCGTCGGCTTCCTCTTGCAGGCTTTGCAGGATGCCGGGGTCCACCAAAATTCGCTGGTGTTTTTCACGTCCGACAATGGGTAAGTGTGCACCCAGGCCAGCCTTTTGGGTCAGGAATGGTGGTGGGGGGCTACAGTGAGATGGTCAACCATTGGCATCAAAGGTTGGCATAGGCCGGGCAGCCATTTGGTGATGAATCCTGCTGCCATAAATATCTCTCTGCATAGCTTGGATGGACTCTCATAATACCAGAAAATCCAGTTTAATAGAACCTCATGGCACTGTCCCAAATGTGCTTTTCCAAAAGGCAATTGGACTTCCTTGGGATTTTTTTCCCCCCTTGGAAACATTTCACTTCTCACCCAAGGAGCTTCTTCCGTTCTGGAGAAATCCTTCTGTTCTTCAGAACGGAAGAAGCTTCTTGGATGAGAAGCGAAATGTTTTCAAGGAAAAAAAAAAACACCAAGAAAACCTAGTTGCCTTTTGGCAAACTTTAAAACAACAAATCACTTTTAAACAAATCGTGCATTTAGAAAAAAGAGAGGCAAACATACCTACACGTACTTGTCCCCTACTACTTGTCCCCTACTACTTGAAATACCAATAGATAAGATTACAACAATAATAGTTTCCACTTCACTCCACCCCTGGCAAAACAGGCCCAGAGTTTATCAGTGCAGGAGGCAGTCAAACAAGTTTTCAATAACAGTTTTAAAACAAAACTGTTTATAAATTGCTTATTGTTGAGGACTTGATGGACTGCTCCTGAGGTTCGCAGGTGTTTGCTAAAATATCATTTCTTTTTTTTTATAAACATTTTGTATTTTTTACAGCAAACATACAAAACAGCAAAGAAAACATTCTTTCAGTTATACCGTGTGTCAGTTTGGCACATATATCTTGTGCACAATATCTTTAATCTTTTTCTCTTAAATTTACATTCACATAGTGTTGATTAGCTTTTCATATCATATTATATTATTAATATACCATCATTGATCTTTTAATTTGAATTCCATATTATCCTTAGGAGCAAATCTCAGTCCTTACAAATTTTTATTCATGATATATTCCTTTTATTCAGGAATAATCAGCTATACCATACTGTTACTACTATATTATTCTTCGATTTCCTACTTTTCTGTCTGACCACTGATAAAATAAGTCCCAAGTCTTACAATACTTTTTTTTTCCTTCTTGCTCTCTAATTGCAAACGTTAGTCTACTCATCTCTGCACATTCCATTATTTTCTTAATTGTTTCCTCCTCTTATTGGAATTTTCTCTTTTTTCCAGTTTTGAGCAAATACAATTCTAGCTGCTGTTAAGACATTAATAATCAACTATATCGATTCTTTACTGTAATCTCCAGGTCAGATTCCTAGTTAAAAATCCCTCTGGTCTGATCATTTTCTCCTCTCTCGACAGCCCCGAGACGATGCGCGGCTCCCGGGGAGGAAGCTCTGGCTTGCTCAAGTGTGGGAAAGGGACGACGTACGAAGGCGGCATGAGGGAGCCGGCTCTGGCTTACTGGCCAGGTCGCATTGCGCCAGGTGAGCCGGTGGGGTGGGAGGACTTCTGCTTGCCGTGGGGCAGGGTCCGAAGGGCCGCTCCTTCCTTCAGCAAGCCCCCCCCTCTCTCTTGACTGCTCTCTCTTGGAGCCAGGAGTGACCCACGAACTGGCCAGTACCTTGGACATCCTGCCCACTGTGGCTGCTCTGGCTGGGGTGCCTCTTCCCAACGTCACGCTGGATGGATATGACCTGAGCCCCCTCCTCTTTGGGAAAGGAAAGGTAGGCTTCTCACCCAAGAAGCTTCTTCGGTTCTTCTTGGCTCGTTTCATGCAGGCGTTTCGGGACCCAACTAGGTAACACCATCAGTGCTAGAAAGGAGGAGGGGGAGGGGGAAAGGGAGGAGGAGGAGGAGGAGGAGGAGGAGGACAATGACTGTGGGGTCCTTGGTGCTCTCTGAACTTGGCTGCTTTCATGCAGACGTTTCGTGACCCAACCAGGTAACATGATCCATGCTAGAAGGGAATAGGATTTGTGGGTGAGGGGGGAGAGGAGGAGGAGGAGAAATGGCTGCTTTCATGCAGACCTTTCACTTGCAAACTAGGCAGCTTCATTGGGGCCGGGGGTGACGTCGTCTTCCCCGATTCTTCCAACAGAGCCCCCGCCAGACCATGTTCTTCTACCCACCAGCTCCGGATGAGTTGTTTGGGGTTTTTGCGGTCCGCTATGGAAAGTACAAAGCCCACTTCTTCACCAAAGGTGAGCCCTTCGTTTCTTTGTTCAGTCCAACGTACCTGCTGGACATCTCGCTGCCAAGAGGCTTCTGGGCGGCTTACCCACCACACCCTGAAAGCAGATGCAGAAGACCTTGGACCGTCAAAAGGAACAAAGAAGAATTGATTTTCGAATGCAGAATATTTGGGGTGGGGGCTGAGAAGTTCTTCCTCGTCTGCTAACTGCCTCCAGCATGGGATGCCCCCATCGGGACCCCAACCCAGTTGGCAGAGCTGGGTTTTAAGGCCTGCCTTCTGGAAGGCCAGGAGGGCGGGGGAGGTCTCACTTCAGGGGGCTTGGGGGTTCCATCTAGAGGGTGGGTGCCATGGCAGGAAAGGCCCTTCTCCCGGAAGCTCTCTCTTCCTCCCTCCCTCCCTCCCAATCTCTCATCTCTCTCTTTCTCTTCCTTCCTCCCTCCCTCCCTCCCTCCCTCCCAATCTCTCATCCCTCTCTCACCTCTCTTTTTCTCTTCTTTCTCTTTCTTCCTCCCTCTATCCCTCTGTTGAGGTAATTCCCCGTTAAGAGAATGAGTGCATACAGGGAGACATATTTGAATAATACACATACGCAGCACACAGATACACTGTACAGTAAATGTAGGTTTTTACTTCCAGAAACAAGCAAAGTCCAAACAAGCAATCCAAAGTCATTCACAAGTAAATTAGTCAGTTTTCAATCCAAGGATAATCCAATAACAAATTCCAGTGTCAAAAACAGTTCAGTAACAGACTTACATCAAATCCAGGAATAGCAGTCAATTAGAAGAAAAATGGAGGAACGGCAATACTCTCCAACGGAAGGAAACAGAGATTCACTCTCTTCTGAGACTAAGACTAAGACTAAGCAACTCAGGTTTCTGGCTCCATCTTATGGCCATTTGAGAAAACACACCCAATTACAGTTTTGCATTTTCTTAAAGATACAGTTTTAAAATGTCTATCCTGGTTTATATATTTCTAACCCAAATATCGGTTAGGTGACTTACATTCCTAACACCCTCCCTCCCAAGCTCTCATCTCTCTCATCCCTCTTTCAACTCCCTCTCTTTCTCTTCTCTCTCTTTCTCCCTCCCTCCCTCCCAACCTCTCATCCCTCTCTCATCTCCCTCTCTTTCTCTTCTCTCTCTTTCTCCCTCCCTCCCAATCTCACATCTCTCTCTCTCTTCTTCCTCTTCCTTTTTCCCTCCCTCCATTCCTCCCTCTCAATCTCTCATCTCTTTCTCTTCTCTCCCTCCCTCCCTCCCTCCCTCCCTCTCTCTCTTCTCTCTTCTCCCCCCCTCCCCCTCCCCCCCCCACTCTCTTTGCCACCCTTCCTCCGCTGGGTGGTTTACCGTGTTAGAAGGCGAAACGCGCCACGCAGCCTCTGCACCCTCAAAATGACCAGCACCCAACTCTCCTCCCGTCTCTCTTTGGATCTCCAGGCGCCTTCAACAGTGCTGCCACCCCTGATCGCGCCTGCAGCGGCTTCACGGCTCTGACCGCCCAGGAGCCCCCTTTGCTCTTCGACCTCGAGACGGACCCTGCGGAGAACTACGACCTCCTGCAAGGCGGGGCCCACAAGCCCGAAATCCTGAGGGTCCTCAAGGAGACCCGCCTGCTGAAAGCTGCCTTCGACCAGGACATGGCCTTTGGGGAGAGCCAGCTGGCCTTGGGGAGTGACCGCTCGCTCCAGCCATGCTGCAGCCCCCAGTGCACCCCCTGGCCCTCCTGCTGCCGCTGCGGCTCTTAGCCCCCCTGCCCCTCCTTCCATACCCCCCCCCCAAATCACCCACCGCTTGCTTTTCTTCCTTGGACCGGGGACCCGGTTTGGTTTAGCAGCCTCCCAAGGAGCTTTTGCCATTTTTTTTTATTGTGGGGGCAGGAAATAAGAACCCCCTCTTGCTTTCTGACCCCGGACAACACGCTCAGCTGGACAACAAGCCCAGGTGCCCACCGTTGTCAGGGAAAGGCTTAACGCATCTCCTGCAGACGCACTTCTTCCGCTTTTCGGAACGACGCCAAACTCGCCCTTTCCCCCCCCCCCCTGCCGAAGACTACGGAGGGTTGGGGGCTGAAGGGATTCGGCCCCAGAACCTCGTCTGTCTCGTGGGGACCAGGACCGGATGCAGCCTTTCGAGGGGGAGGGGGAGGGGGGGGTCTTGCCAGAGCGGAGCAAAGCCGGGCCGGCGCTTCTTTTAGTTCTTGAAAATCCATCGATGCAACCCGGGATTGCGTTGGCCTTTTTGGGGGGGCCGCTGCAGCGCATGGCCGGCCCGCCCCTTGAGCAGCGGTCCAGTTCCCGGTCTGAGTTAGACGAGAGCGAGCGAGGATTCCTCCTTGGAGGGTCAGGAGAGGGGCCAGGGAATGTCCAGGGCCTGGGAAGGGGCAACTCGACGCCGAGGAGCTCTGCGTTTGGAAGCCGCCTCCGCTCTCACCGCCTCATCCCCGCCCCGCTCTGCACTCGGCAGCAAACGAGAGGTGGCTGTGCAGCCCCGTCAAGCTGGAGAGGGAATCACCAAAGAGTTGGGAGGGGCCTCAGAGGTCCTCTAGTCCAGCCCCGTGCTCGAGAAGGAGACCCTGCACCATTCCAGTCAAAACAGCTGTCCAATCCCTACTTAAAAACCTCCATGGCTGGGGCACCCAAAGGCCAGCTAGGACGGAAAGAGAGAAACGCAGGCGTGTTAGGATGAAGAGGTGGCTGAAGCTGGCCATGGGGCTTGCCTGGGCTCTGATGTTGTACAATAACTTTCTCCCCTGCTGTGGGGGCAGATATCATCCTCGGGTAGAGGATGAGGAAGGGGTTTCATTCTCTGAGGAGGTGGGCTGGTTCCCGGACGTTTCATTACCAGGCTGGGAAATGGCTCAGCGTTCCAAGTGACGCACCCATAAGGAGGTACAACTGTGAGGCAGCCGAATTCCTCAGTTTTATCTTGGCACGACAGGTGAAAGCCGACCGAAAGTTCCCACGGCTTTCACCTAATGAAAAAAAAGAAAGTTTCCGCTTTCCCGCAAGTCGCTAGTCACGCTGTCCAATCCAGGCGCCGGCCGGTTGCTTGGTTACTTGGCTCCTCCCCTGGCCAGCCAACCTGTGAGGATGTCCTTGGTTCCCAGAGGAAAGCTTTGTTGTTTCGGTTACAAAACCCCACCTGACTATTTCCCCCTGCCTCCTTTTGCTGTGTGGCAGCAGATTAACAGGTTGGAAGGGACCTTGTAGATCATCTAGTCCACCCCGCCCACGCCACCCAAGCGGGAGACCCTACACCATTGCTGACAAACGGCCGTCCAATCTCTTCTTGAAACTCTCAAATGAAGCCCCAGAGCCTCCAAGACGGCTTTGGCCACGTTCACTTCAGGGTTGACGGGAGTTTAGGGTAGGTCAGTGTTGATGTTCTTGTGCTTATCAGGGCTTTGTGGCATCAGTAGGTCTGGTCATTTCAGGTGAGGGTCCCGTCATAGAAGGAGCTTCTTCCTTGCATGTTGTGGTTCGCCGGCAGCAGGTGTGGATGTCTGAGGTCTCGGAGAAGGAGGACTCGGATGAGGGGCCTGCGTGTGATGCAGGGATGGGACCAGGACCATCAGGGAGTGGAGTGCGGCCTTCGGAGGTTGTGGAGGCTGGCAGCAGTGAGGAAGAGGCCCCTGAGGAGCCTGTGCCAAGTGCATGTGCATAGAAGGAAAGGGCAGCTGCAGCAGCACGGGCGACTCAGGAGTAAGGGCTGCAAGGTAATGGCCTCTCCCTTAAGGGATAAAAGCCAGCTGAGAAACCGGAGTTCTTTGCAGGAAGCAAAGAAGTATTTGCACTCAAGCCTTGTGGACATTCAGACTATCTTGGTTGGTGTTTGGAGACTATTTGTGTTTGGAATATTTCTTGGCCACTTTAACTAGTGCTCTTGGCAGCCTTGCACCACCTTGGCAAGGCCCGTCCTTATCAGAGACAATTAGTTTGAAGCAGCCTTTTAACCGTGAAGGAACAGAATTCATAAAGAATCTTTAAAAGGTTTTGCTGTTACCTCTGTCTGGTGTTTGCTTCCTTGGAACGAGGTTTGGGTCAGAACATCGGGTGAGCATGTCCTGTTTCTCAACTGGTCAGGTAGATGATGGCCCTTGAGTCCTGGGCCTTCAAAGCAAGACCCTACTTTTATTGGCCATTCTTGATTCATTATTTGTTGATATGATTTGATTTTGGGGCTGCCTGGCTGTAGAGATGGTTAACTTGACCCATCCCAAGACCCTCACCTGATGTGGCCTCCCCACCCCCAGACCTACAGACCCCACGGAGCCCTTGGATAAGCAGGAAAACATCAACACAGATTGCCCCTAAACTCCTCTGAAGGCGTCACCTGGCCTGGTCGTAAAACGTTGAGAAACCGACCCACCAGCTCAGAGAAGGAACTTCCACCTTCAACTTTTCCCCTCTTTTCTTAATTTGCTGCTACCCGTCCCGCACAAGCCCCGGAAGTCTTTCCTAAAACTCCTAGGATTATATCCTGACAGTGAGAACAATTGACCAGTGGAACCACTTGCCTCCAGAAGCTGTGAAGGCTCCAACAATGGAAGTTTTTAAGAAGAGATTGGACAACCATTTGTCTGAAGTGGAGTACGGTCTCCTGTCTGGGCAGGGGGTTGGACTAGAAGACCTCCAAGGTCCCTTGCAACTGTTTTATTCCATTCTACTCCATTGCATATTCTCTATTCTATTTTTGCTTTTCTTTTCTATTCTATTCTATTCTATTCTATTCTATTCTATTCTATTCTATTCTATTCTATTCTATTCTATTCTATTC